GAGAACTGTTATCGGACTGCATATATTCTGATTGCGGATTGGTTTCAGATCAGATCTGAACTGATTTCATACAGATTTCTGATTGTGATTGATTGTTTAAGTGTTGTTTTCTATTGTAGTAACCCTGATAGTTCTTAACTACTGATTCTTGACCAAGAATGGAGTTCAAAAATCAGGGAGAAGGTGCTTTTGGGAACAACAGTTCTGGTAGTATGACTGAAACTGCATTTCAGATTACAACTGTGAGATTTGATGGATCCAATTACTTGGAATGGGCCCAATCAACCATGATGGCTATTGGGGGAAGGGGGAAACTTAGCTACCTATTGGGAGATGTGAAAGAACCTTCCAAGGAGGACCCAATGTATACCAAGTGGGTTCAGGAGAACTACTTGGTTATGACATGGCTGTGCAACTCTATGCAGCCACATATCAGTCGAAATTACTTGTGGGCAAAGACAACCGAGGAGATATGGGATGTCATGAAAGAGACCTACTCCCAACCCCTTAATGTTGCTAGAGCCTATGAACTAAAGTGTGAGGTGAATAATCTTAAACAAGGAGAGAAACCAGTCTCTGTTTATTTCTCTACCTTGAAATCCTTGTGGCATGAAATTGACCATCTGGAGACTCTTGAGTGGGAAAGTCCAAAAGATGCACAGACCCATAGAAAGCAAGTCGAGACCAATAGGGTGTTTGAATTTCTAGCTGGCTTGAATTCGGATTATGACATTGTGAGATAGCAGATACTGACAAGAGGCAGTGTAACCCTTTCTCAAGCATACTCCTTGGTGCATAGTGAAGAGACCAGGAGGAAGGTTATGATGCAACATTAGCCCTTTCCCCCAGCCCTGGCAGCAGTTAAACCTAAGTCTGGGGGTGATACAAAAAGGGACATGAAGAAGGAAGATAAATGGGATCTGGTATGTAAACATTGCAAGAAATCCAAGCATACGAAAGATACATGTTGGAAGCTCCACCCTCATTTAGTCCCAGCAAAACTGAGGAATAAAAGGGGTAATGCTCATATGGCTGTGAATACTGATTCTGCATCCTCGTCAGGCACAAAAGGCATGCCCCTAGATACCTTAGCTGTTGTTCGGGCTGCCCTAATACAGTTGGAAAAGGAGGTTGGGAATTCAGCTCAGTCGTCTCAGTCACCATCAGCATCAGCCCCTGCAACATCTGCATTTGCTCATTCAGGTACTCAGGCCTCAGCCTACCACGCTTCAGCTCTAGGTAACACTGAACACTGTTGGGTAAAGTATCCATTGCTGATGGCTCTCTTGTTCCCATTTCTGGAAAGGGTGACATCAAGTTATCTGATACTATCTCTTTATCCTCAGTCTTGCATGTTCCTAAACTTGATACTAATTTGCTTCAGTCAGTAGTATTACCAAACATCAGAACTATTCAGTAACCTTTTTCCCTGACCGATGTGTTTTTCAGGACTTGGAGACGAGG